GGGCATCCTGGTCCTCGCCCTCCCCGCCTCTCCCTGTCTCCACCCCTCCCCCTCTCCACCCCTCCCTCCTCACTCTTAAGGTTTGGAGATTTTGGCTGATTTCAGGAAGGGATACTGCCCCAACCCGCGAGTTCGGGCTGCCCTTGATCGTGCGGTTCCGCTCGTGAGGCTTGGCCTTTCCGCCGCCCCTCCTGAGCCAGACGCTCCCACCGTGGTCCGAACCTCACACTCCAGTTCGTTGACGGCTCCCTCCTACGAGCAGCGTATGTCAGCCTTGTGTGAGAGGATTCGTCTCAGGGAACAGGCCGCAGCGGCCAGATCCCGTAGCTAAGTTTTTTCGTTTTCCTGGGGTTCGGTCCACCCCCCCCGGTGTTTGGAATTTAGCCCTGCTTTATTCCATTTTAGTGCTGTGCACTCCCCTTCGGGTCTGTTCTTCTTCTTCTTCTTCTCCCTCCTCACTCTTCTCTCCCCCCACTCCAACTCTCGCAGGTCCGCGGGTGCTGGTCGCCTACGCGTGGCCGCGATCCCTCGTGCTGCATCGGCGGGGGGAGGTCTGCGATGGCAGACGCTCCTGCCGCCCCGGCCGCGCCACTGTAGCGGGGATGGCGAGATCCGCCTCTCCATCCGTACGACAGGTTCATGCGGCGTTGGCGCTCCGGCGACGCTGGCGAAGGCGTTCAAGGTTGAATTTTGCGACTCGGAAGCACCGATGGACTCGGTAACGCCACTGTACCCGACTGATATCAACCTTGAAGGATCGTGGCCGCGATTGATTCAAGGTTGAAGGATGGACGCGGTGCCAAAACCTATGCGCGCGCCGACGCCGCACGAACCTACCGTCGGGCAGGGGAAGGGACAGGAGGAGAAGGTGGAGACGATGGAGGAGAGAGAGGGGGGAGGGATGTGGGGAACAATACGATGGAAACAGCGAGGACCTGTGTGCGGGTGGGTGGTGGGAGAAGCGCGCGCGCGTGTGTGTGTGTGTATGTGTATGTGTGTGTGTGTGCTTTGGTTTGTGTGTGTGTGTGTTGGTGTGTTGGTGTGTTGGTGTGTGTATGTGTGTTGGTGCGGGTGTTGGTGTTGGTGTCGGTGTCGGTGTCGGTGTCGGTGTTGGTGCTGGTGTTGGTGTTGGTGTTGAGTCTGAATTGCTGAGCAATTATGGTTGTTGGATCCCCTACATGCGCCGTGGCGCTCTCACCTCGGCGCCGGCTGCATGTCCTTTGAATATTTGGCTCGCGCTCAGGCGTTTCGGGGGTGCGCCGAAACCGGCCCCCCAACAACACAACGCTCCCACTCGATGCTTCCTTGTTTTCTACTCGGGACCAGGGGTCTTGCTTCCGCCGAAAGCTGGCTTTCCCACAAAACTGGCGCTCCCGCTCGATACTTCATTTTTTTTACTAAGGACCGGCGCTTCCGCCTCCGCGCAGCAAGCGCCCCCCCTGCAAACAACGACGCTCCCGTTCCACACCTCCTTCGTATTTGCTCAAGACTCCCAGAGGCCCTGGGGCTTCCCTAGTCCCTAGTGCCGATCCTTAAGACTGCAACATGCACTGTGGGAGGTCTGCAACGCTGCCTCCAGGGCGTGCTCTGTGTGCAGGGGCGGCCCGAGAGCCCGCGGCGGCGACCCCGTCGTCGTCGTCGTCGTCGTCCTCCTCCTCCTCCTCCTCCTCTTCCTCCTCCTCCTCCTCCCCCCTAGTCTTCCCTCCTTCCTCCTCTTCCTCCTCCTGCTCCCTCCTCTTCTTCCTTCCCCGAGGCTCAGAGGCCCCTCCGATCCAACCCTTTTCCAAAACTGCCTCTTTCAAGATTGCCCGAAATCCTCCCGTCCAGTTTTACAGCGTCTCCCAGGGGCCCTCATGTCTCCCACAGGGTTTCTGAAGCTTCGCTGAGAGCTTCTGGGGGCTCACCAACAGGCTCCGGAGGCTGTCCAAGGGGCTCCGAGGGCTTGGGGCCTCTCCCAAAGGTTTTGGGCCACTCGGGCGTGGTGATACCTAGCAACAAGACATGGGCAGGGCGATTGCGAAGGCGATGTGCCATCCGGGCTGGACATGTTGAAGTGCTTCGGACGAGGGGTTGACAAGACCTCCTCGGGCGGGAGATCCTGTGAAGGGAAGATCGGATTATTATTATTATTATTATTAGTAGTAGTAGTAGTAGTAGTAGTAGTAGTAGTCGTAGTAGTAGTAGTAGTAGTAGTAGTAGTAGTAGTAGTAGTAGTAGTAGTAGTAGTAGTAGTAGTAGTAGTAGTAGTAGTAGTAGTAGTAGTAGTAGTAGTAGTAGTAGTAGTAGTAGTAGTAGTAGTAGTAGTAGTAGTAGTAGTAGTAGTAGTAGTAGTAGTAGTAGTAGTAGTAGTAGTAGTAGTAGTAGTAGTAGTAGTAGTAGTAGTAGTAGTAATAGTTCTATTAGTAGTAGCAGTAGTGGAAGTAGTATTAGTCGTAGTAGTCGTAGTCGTAGAGGAGTCGTAGTAGTAGTAGGCGTAGTCGTAGTAGTAGTAGTAGTAGTA